GAATTGTTTATTTACAGTGCAGGCAAGTCTAAATATTATACTGTTCTTCTTGTTGCTACAAGCTTTGCTGTCTCAAATTTCATTTTTTTTAATCTATTTTTTTTTTTTTTTGTTATTTTAGGTCTATTCCCATTGCTTGGACACGCAGCAATGAACGTGAGGCCATCTTTGCTCACTGTCTATGAAACTCATTTTGTACCACTCGGAGAGAGATTGTGTCCTGCTCTCAGTGGCTTTCTGAGTGGTGTTCTTCCAGGCTTAGAGGAAGGATCAGATCACTTTGACAGAACCAACAGTCTCTTAGAAAAAGTTTGTGATGGTGTTGGTGCTGCTCATTTTTATACTTGCCTGTGGGACTGCCTATCAAGTAACTCAATCATAAGACTCCCAGCAATTTGTTTCATCCTGGCCCACTTCAATAGAAAGCTCAGTACAGAAGATCAGCTTCACATAATGGGTACTGATATAGAAGTTATGGTCCAAGGGCTTTGCACTGCAGTGCAGGACTCCAGTGTCCTTGTACAGAGAAGTGCCCTTGATCTCCTCCTCGTGGGGTTTCCCCTTCACAACAGCCAATTAGTCAGATCAGATATGGTACGTCTGGTCACTGCATCGCTGAATACTATCCTACGCCGTGACATGTCTCTGAATAGGTATAGATAAATTTTTAATTTTGTCTTTATCTTTGCACCACAATTTTGTCAATCATGCCCATTGAATATTCTTTTTGTAGGCGGTTATTTGCATGGCTCCTTGGATCTGAAGTAAATTTCTCTCTTTTGAGTCCTGATCATCCTTTGATCAAATCCCCTTCAGTGTCATATTTTCAACTCTTTTCTCAAGAAATGTTGGTACAGGTAACAGTATTTTATTATCTATACAATTTTTATTATCTCTCTTATCACGTAAGTGCCCTTTCCTGAAACTCTACCTTTACTTCCTCACCCTTTTCAGGCTATTCGCACATCTCTAAATCAAGTTTTGGCAGAAGCTAATCATGACCTCAAGCCTTTCCGAATTTTAGTGTCTCTGCTAGATAAACCTGAGATTGGGCCAATGATTCTCGACTTCATTTTGTATGAAGTTTTCAGGTAAATCTGCCATTTATCCAAATATTTGATCAAAGAAATTTATTATTATTTCAATTTAATTCTTTTGGTGAATTTTGTTGTTGTAGGACGTTGTATCTAGCATCAGCCGAAAAACAGGGTGCTGAAGGAAGAATGAAGGATCTCCATCGAAACCTGTAGGCATACTTTTGTATCTTTTATTATTATTATGCTGTATCTTATTTTTTGGTTTTTTTGTATTATCGCATCTAAATCAAAACAATTTTTGTCCCTCCCTTAAATGCAGAACTCAACCCACAAATAACCAAGAGCTCTTTAAATCAGTTAATCTGCTCTTCAGCTCTTTGGAACCAGCATACATATGGCAATATGCGGGCTCCCTTATTGAAAAAGCTTGTATCATGCATCATGATTCAATGTTGACTGGTCAAGATATTCATGAGAATGTTGAGTCTGTTAGACCAGTTGGCTCAGGTCAACCTTGTCTTGTTGAGGTGTGTTAATAGACCCATAGTCTGTCAACTAAATGTAAACTGTAACTTACTTGTCTATGTAAATGTGTGGTAAAATCTCTGTCTTTTCTTACAGGTCTGCCAACTAATAAGTTGTTTATTGGACGCTGTTCCTTTAGAATCATACATTGACACAACATTAGAGCATTTACCAAATTTATTTTTGCTCATTGTAAATCAAATGGTTTTACCTGATATTCTTTACACTCCCCATCAGTTGGTTACGTGCCTCCAGCTCTGCTCCAAAGTTTTGTCTCGAGTCCAGCCTCAGCCAACAACCTCTAAATGTAACGGTTTTACTGATTCAGTACGCCCACGGGCTAAAACTGTATCATTCAGTCAAAGACGAAATAGTGATAGCAGTCAAACCCTAATTCTGGAGGGTAATGTGGACCGGCTGAAGGATCTGTCTCTCAGCGATCATCATTTAGAGTCGGATGTCAACCTAAAAATGGAAATGTCGACTCGAAGCATCAGTGTCGGAGCCCGACTGGAAGCAGAGCAATCTACTAGCGATGACATTTGTAACATTAAAAAAATGACTGACTGCACAGCTGAGCCGAAAATTGACAGTCAATGCTTTACACCCAATCTTATTCTGGATGAATGTCGTAAGCGATATGAAGAGCTGTTTGTTCTGTTAGTTTCAAGCAACAGAATAATAAACTGGCAATCTCATGAGTTCTCAAAACTCTTTGAATGTTTAATGATTGCATCATGTTCTGAAGTAGAAAGAAATGATACCTCTGGCCTAGAAATATTATTGAAAGCTTGTATTACAAATACTGAGCCAGAGTTTGATACAAACCAAGCTCTACTGAAGAACCCAATTAAAATACCTAAATCCAATTGTTGGAGGGAAACAGGAGTATTGGACATGTCAGTACAGCTTGAAGCTCAGTCAACAGAGTGGGAGGATGTGTTTTGTGCTGCCTGCACTCTTCTCGTTGATTTGTCTACATTTCCATCTTATTGCCAGCCACTTGAAACATTTCCACAACCGACACCAACTGAAATGCCACCCTGGTTGCAACTGCTCACAGTTTGTTGCTGCTGGCTTGGCCAGTCACCCTCAATGCAGCTTGCTGCTATTTCAACTTTGTTAGACCTGATTGCTGTAACATCCAAAAATATTCCTCATCAGATTTCAAGCTCTGAAAACAGTGTAGTAACTCCTGTTGTATTGACACCTTTACTTATGCAAAATGAAGTACAAACTTTGGAGAACTGCACATGTGCCATGCAGGTGTGTCCATGATTTGACTGAAATTTTTGATTTTAAGCTGGCCCTATGATTTGCATGCCACAATTTTTTTCCACCTAATTATTTTACATTAAAAGGTCTTTTTTTTATTTTTCAGGTGATAGCACACTGGTTATGGCGTCATTTGAGCAATGGTGGGGCTCTTGAGGCTCGCTCTGTTGCACTCCTGCAGCAGCTGCACGACACAGTGATTACAGACGATATTGTGGAAGCAACAATTGGAGAGTTCATCAGTCAGGAAGATGATGAAGCTCAGTTAAGAGGATTTCAAACTTTTGCTACATTTTGGCATGCTTCAAGAGTAATGTGTAATAAGAGCAAACGGCCATTTTTAAAGTGAGACCTGAGACTAGAGTCCTAAAATTTATCTGTCTGTTTTTTTACAACTCCAACTAGAACATACCAAATCATTTATTTGTAATTTTTCCTTTCCCAGGTCACTTTTGAGAATGCTTGATAATCTTGCCCTTCCTGACAGTAGTCCATTAAAGCTCACAGCTCAGAGTTGGCTTCTTCACACTCTAATGCGAGGCGATGTTCCTCGTCTTCTGGATCCATTACTTCTACCTCTACTTGCACCCACAACAGCTCGGGTTTCAGTGCTCCGTGTATCAATACAGCATAGAAGTACTGTGCTGCCCAATGAAGCTGATAAAGCAGAGTCAAGAATTTTTGCTATCAGTTCTGAAGATGGCAATGTTATCTACCATGTTACTCCAGTGCAGTCTTCAGGTTCGTTGCAAGAGTTCAATTTTTAGAAGGCGGCCATCGTATGTTTTTAACAAATTGTTTCTAGTCTAAGATAAAAACCCTTTTTTGTTTCATCATGAAACAGATCAGAAGCAAAGTGATTCAGTCAGAGCAAGACGAATTTTTACAGTTGCAACACTAGTAAGGCACTGCACCTATGAAAGGGATGTGGCGAGCTTTGAGTACTGTCCTTCAAGTCTTATGTCTTGGGCAATACCATCTGCTCTTACTGGAAACTACACTGTGACCAGCAATGATGGTGATAGCTCCACGAGCATGAGCAGCAATGCTAGTGACAGCTCTAGCTCTTTAGTGACTGGAAGTGCTAGTTTAAGTGAAGATGTGTCAAAGAACATGGGTACCACAATTTTGAATGCAAGGTGTGTCTTGTTGAATGTTAGTTCTATAATAAATTTTATTCATGAGGAGTAAACATAATTTTCATATTTATTCCAGGTCTCCAGTCAATCCCAGCGGAGACTCGATTTCATTGCCTAATGTTGTAGTAAGAGTTGATGGTCGGCTTGTTGTGGAAAACCCTGTTTTAAAGAGTCTCAGTAGTGGATTTGAAGAGGGAGATGAAGATGACTTCTCTGATAAAGTGTATGTAACATTGAAACCGTCCACTATTTCACATACTTTTCAGTACTTACCCGCACTTTGTACATTTATTCCCGCAATTTTTTCCTCCAGATCCAACTATCCAACCAGAGTTAATACCCCAGTGATGTCCACTGCCGAAAACGAGTTGGAGGAATCAATTTCTGCTGAAGATTATTTTAGTAGGACTGGATCCCAGTCGAGACCTCGATCTCGGGCAGAATCTTCTGTTCTCTCTTCTTCATCAGGGTTGGCCAAGTGCAGCCTAGATACACTTACCTTGGAGGTAAGGTAGTATCCTAAACTTTTCCTATTCCCTTATAGTTTTTCTCTCTATCCATCTAGCATGTACCATGTACCATCTGTAAATTGAATGTTACATGATAAGCTGAACACTTTTCAGGCAAAATCAACTTTTGTGGGCAAGCAAAGGTTGTCTTCAGACCTGCAATCTCATTTAGCTTTACATCCACTTCATTCGCATATGTTGCTCTATTGTGGAGTGTATGATTCAGCTCGTACCCTTTATTCTCTGCGTACTCTTCGAAATGCCCTATCAACAAACCCTAGGACATTTTTGTCGTGTGCTGCAACAACTGGTGTTGCTCGATCATCTTCAGATCTGTTGAATTTGTTAGCCAGGTATTAAGCATGCCCTTCTGAATGATTTCCATTTTAAAATTTACTTTTACTTACTCTGTAATGGTGTTACATTCCACAGACATAGAAAATCTGCTTCTGGAAATAATTTCCATGGTGATCTTGCAAACGGTATTGGTGGCAGTGGGCGCAGTCACATGTATTTAGAGGTTCTTATTCTCACATGCCTGTATTACATTCGTAGTTATTACCCTAGCCTTGGGCAAATGAGACTGACCAAACAGGAAATTGAAGGCAACCAACAGGTACAGTTTTTCATTGTATAGTAACCCTTTAGTACACCTTTTGATCTACCTTTACATGTGTAAGATTAATTCTGTGATGAAGTGCAAATTTTTGTTGCCAATTTGTATGAATACACTGCCATTGACATTGTACTGCATGGACAGGTTCAAGTTGCAAGTCTGGAGCTGCTTACTTTAATATTTTCAGAACTGACAAGTATTATTCGTGATAGCGGCAAAGGCCTTGCTAACTACATCGGAGATCTTTTGTCACGGTGCAAAGTTCAGAAAGTAGTGTTACACTGCCTTGTTGCAAGTGTACATGATAGTGCCACAACAAACAATGCACATCCAAACCTGACGTTCACCGAGGAAATAATTCAATTCAATGATCCCAGTCGACCTGCTGGGGAAAATCCCATCATGTCTCCTCTAGGGGAAGCATACCAAATTCAACTCTTAAGGTAATCATACTTAGCCATAATGTACTTATCTTTTCAAATTGAAAAAAAAACAAACAAGAAAATACCGTAATTATACCTAGTTTTTATCTCTTATTTATCATTTTGCACAATCTTCTTTTTCAGACTTTTACTAGCTCTGCTTATCTTAGAGCATCAGATTCAACATCAAAAATGTGAAGTTATTGTTCAACAGAACACTCAGAGTTCAGCTCCAGTGTCATCAAGCAGCCCTAATTCATTTAATGGTGGGGATGTCTCAATTTCGGTATCACAAAAGAACTCTGAATTAAAGTATATGCTAGGACGACCAATACCACAGCAACCAATGTTTGTAGGAGCAATTTTAAGTGCTCTTCGTATGCAGGTTTGTGTCTCACTCTTAACTTTTGTTTTTGCATCAGCTGTTGTTTTACCTATTTGTTGTTTGTAGGGTCAGATGAGGTGGCTACATCAACACTGGACCACACTGGTAACATGCTCTTTGCC